GAACATAGCCAGAATCAGACAAGTTTTGTCAAGCGACACTGCAGAGGTTCTTGTCCATGCATTTGTGTCTTCCCGTATTGAATATTGCAATGCTCTTTTTTCTGGCCTACCAAAGAAAAGTTTTAGAGGTCTACAGATGGTGCAAGATGCAGCTGCTCGCATTTTAACAAAAACTGGGAAATCTGAGCAGGACCCCTGTTCTGAGATCTCTGCATTGGCTACCTTGTCAGGTTCGAGCAGATTTTAAGGTCCTGCTGCTCACCTACAAGGCTTTAAACGGATTGGCACCTTCATACCTCTCCGACCTTTTACACCTTTATGTTTCATCTCGTGCTCTACGATCTTAGGACTCCGGCCTTCTAAAAGTTCCTAGAGCCAGAAAAAAGACAATTGGAGAGCGTGCTTTTTCTTTCGTGCCCCATTTCTGTGGAACAACCTCCCTCAAGATATTCGGCAGGCATGCTCTGTGGAGGATTTTAAAACTAAGTTGAAGACACATTTGTTCACCTTATCCTACATGTCTTAATTCTATGGCTTTTAGTTTTTAAATTTTTATTGTTTTTAACTTGTATTGTGTCTTTTACCTGTATTGCTATGTATCGCTTTTATTTTATTCATCTCTTTAGTTGTACAGCACTTTGTTTGAAAACACTTTATAAATAAAGTTCTTCTTCTTCTTCTTCTTCTTCTTCTTCTTCTTCTTCTTCTTCTTATTATTATTATTATTATTATTATTATTATTATTATTATTATTATTATTATTATTATACTGCTACTGTTCAATCGAAATTTTAAATGAATATCCTCATATGTGGCTCTCATTTTTCTTAGAAACAAAAATTAGGTTAAAAAAAAGAAAATCTGGTAATTCTTTGTTTTTACATTCATCAGGTCCCATTCAGCCCAAATATCAAAGAGAGATTAAAAATGCATGCCGTGGAAGAGTTCGGGTCTTAGGAGGTTTATGATCATTCTACTAATGTTTAGCTTCAGTTATTATGGACTTATTTGGCTTGTAGTTTATATTAATTTGTTGTTGTTGTTGTTTTTTTAGCTCCCTACTTCAATTGATTTGCTGTTTTGGTGTTTTAAGTTTCTGATTCCTGGTTTCATTGAGTTTCAATTAAGATTTTGTTTTGCTGCATAATCACAGCTGTGAGGTTTTTGGACTGATTTTCTGTTTTTAGTTTTCTCCAAATGTGGAGCTGTGTATTATAGTCAAACCTCTCTACTTTGGTATTGTCTGTTCAAAGAGCATTGTTCCAAATGTCTTGTGGTTTATTCAGATGCAACTCTCTAAACCTAAGTAGTGCTACCATGTTCTTTTTATAGAGAAGAGGCTTTCTCCTGGCTTATTCTTATTGTACTGTTATGAACCTTAATACTTAACATGCTGAGTCCTGCAGCATCTGGGGTATAGCTGAGGTGATGACATGAGCTGGGTTTTAAAAAATCTTTTTATTATTATTATTATTATTATTTGTTCCCGTCTCTCTGGGCATTGCACAGTCTGACCACAGGGCGAATTTCCTGGGACAGCCATTCCTAGGAAGACTGTGGGATTGGGTTAACACTCACCTGAAAGCTCAAGACCACCTGCCAAAACCTCTGCTTTTATAGAGGTGCTTATGCTTGCAGATGATTAATTTATCAAGTGCATTTGATTAGGAGCACTTGGCTGTTACATACCTTCTTAATTCACGTGGACGCCATTAGGTTGTACATAGTTTTAAGATGCAGTCTTGTGAAAGTTTTCTTTTTCCCATATGTGTCACTCTTGTCATTAGCACAAAGCTCTTTGTCTCACATGACCATAAAACGTTTCTCCTGACAGTATTTGGCTTGTCCATGTGGGCAGCTGTGTATTTCAGTCAAACACGCTCTTAGAAACTACCAGTTGTTGTCGAGCATGACCATTAATGAGAAGTTAAAAGGCTTTTGCCTTATCAAGTAAAAAGACATAGCAGAACCTTCAAAATCACTTGGTAAAATATTTAAGTGTGTATGCATATATTTGAACCTGTATGTATACTTGACCCTGTGTGGAAAAATAAATAATTAAATAACAAAATAATGAAATAAATAAAACCCTTGTTTGTTAAAGTCATTAAAGATGTATGCTACAACCATTCAAGCCCCCTTCAAAAAAAAACCAAGTCTTCAAAAGCCCAAAATTACCATGAAATTCATGGTCACGATGAGTGGTTATGAACTTCTCACCACAGTCTGTTTATGTTCCACTGTGTGCTGCCCTGTTAAATCGCTCAATAGTTTCGTATTTGGGCATCGTCAGAAATGAAAGCTTGCTTTTTATTGAATTAATATGCGTTTGGTTTATCTAGTAAATAAAACAAAACCATCATGTTAGTTTGTCCTGTTCCATACTTTATATCTTTTATCTATACTTTAATGGAGAGAACAGAATTGTCCAATCAGCCTTCATTAGCTGTGTCCCATAGATTACAACTGGTGACATCCTTGACAATACATAGGTTTCAGAATACCTAGAAACTCTCCATGAAATGTCTGTGTGAGAGGTGGATCGCTGTTCCATAACCAGAAAAATCTGCAGTACTCCTCCCTCAAAAGTTACTTGTTTGGTGCCTCCTTACATAAGCTTTACTGTAAAGACATTGTCACTGCTCTGTGCCATTTCTTTGTACTGATGTAATGAACAATTTAAAAAGTCTAATGATGTTACAGCCATACACATAACAGAAATAGTTTTCTAAAGGAGGCTTTTAACGTCTGCTTTTGTATTTATTGCCTTTTTCTGTCCTTATTTCCAATGGGGAACAATGCAGTCTTAAGAACTAGGCGATTCTGGGAGTCACTCTTCTCTCAGCCTCTTTGTGAATCTACTAACTAGGTTTATGCTCCCCCTCAGCTGCCTTGGTCTAGTAAAGACGAGCTAAAACTAGGATGACAGGTTGGCCGTCCTCAGGTCAAAGCCTGTCAGTCAGGTGTCCTGACACAGTCTCAGCCAGGTCAGACTGTCAGAGGTTGAGACAGTAGATGACGGATGAATTCTGCCTCTTCATTTTTGCCACTAGACTTCCTCTTCCTCCACTGTAATCCCTGTTCTTGTTTAATGCATTAGACAGAAAGGTACACAGATATTTACTTTTCTACTTTGACAGCATGTAAAGAGAAAATGAGTTATGAATAATTATCTGTGTAAACTGAGATGGAGCAGCTTACTCTTCTTGACTTAGATGATCTTTTTGTTTGAAGACAAAATTAAAAACACAAATTTGGTACATTAATGTAATGTTTGGTTTGTACATGCAGGCTGCTGTTGTTTTTTGTCTTGTTCTTTCTGGCTCAAATTTTTAGAGCTCAGTTGTGCTCAAGGTGTGTGTTATGCTGATATATACAATGATACAACCAGTGTTGGGGTCATTGCTTTTCTTACAAGTAATGCGGTGAAAGTAATTTGTTACATCGCTTCCTCGTTACTGCATAAAATGACCTGAAATGCAATGTCTTATAATCACCAGATAACATTATAAACCTTAAGCTACAGTGTCACACAGCAACACCAACACCAACGCAAAGCACAAAGACTTCAAAGCAATCGCTGCAGTGATTCTACTGTAGAAACATGAACAGGTAGAAATGGAGGCTGCAGCCTGACTGCTCATTGGGGCCTTTGTTACCTGATAAAGATCCAGCTCTGGCTGCTGGGCTGGGGTCTGCATGTGCTCAGCTTTAACATCACTCTGGGTTCTTGGTTAGCTTCAGCTTGGACTTTACTATTGTGCTCTTATGCAATAAAAATAAAAGTAATGTCCGCTCCTCAAAAGCTGCTTCACCGCTTTCCTTCTGCCACAGTTATTTCTGTATAACGGAAGAACCTTTGTAATGTGACAAATGGCATAATTGTAACTGTAATAAGTATTGAATTCATGGCAGTACAGTAATGTACTAAAAAAATTACAACCAACTCTGGGTACTGGGTACTCGTATTAAACAGGGCCAAAGTTCACAGTAATGAGGTCAGTGTTATGTAAATGTAGTCTCTGTAAGTCAAACGCTCAGGTTTCAGACTGCTCTACATGCTCGATTAAAGACAGCTTTTTTTTAGTCTTGGCTCTGTTTGATCTTAGGCAGAGAGGATATCTTTAATACAGCTCTGGCTTTGGGCACAGAGGCCCCACCAACCTGCTGTTGAAACCTGATTTTTGTCAGTGACAGCCAATCAGATGAGATTTGGATTAAAACAGAGGGTGGCCCTAAAGATACGTTAAAACAGCTTATTCTGTAGAGAGGACAAAGTAAGAGGTTGCACCAAGATACTGTACGATAAACGGATTATTTTGAACAGTGAAAAAAGTGAATGGATCTGGAAATGAACACTACCGCCTCTCTGTAAAGGTAAAACCTCACCACATTGTATGTGAGACTTGTCTTTATGAACCAGGAGGTTAGCGACTTATAATTGCAGCCTTAACTTCCACTGACATAGCAGAGGATGGTGCCTTTAAAATGAATCAAACAGTATCTTCAGGTGATGTTTCCTGGATTTTTTTTTTGCTGATGAAATTCCTCATGGTGGTGCTCTTTTCTTTGTCTATTCAGCCATGGCTGATAAAACTGCTCATTGTAAATACCCACTTACATGTCCCATCTTCAGAAAACAAATAAATAAAACTTCATATGCTGGCCGCTACATGAATTTGAAAAAGGAAATAATAATTGCTCCTCTTGCTCGAAACATTTTTAACATTGAGTATATTTAAAAAAGCCAATATGTTTATATATCCAGTAATTTCCATTAATTTTTGTTGACAAAATGGGTAATAAAAGTCTGTAATTCCACTTATCTGTTCTATAATTTCACTTTCACAGCCCTTTCACACGGCCACAGTTATCACCTCGCCCTCATCTTTCACGCGCTCGCTTCCACTCTCCTTTAGTGTTTTGCTCCTCCTTGCTCCCCCCCCCCTTCCACTTACTCTTGCTCTGCATTAAACCCAGCTTGTCTCTCTGATCCCGGGAGGACTGCTTATGGGAGCTCCTCGGACCAGTGTGAGCCCTGCTGGTTTCCAGTCGCCTTGCAGCACTGCACGTGGAAGAGGAGGTGGAGGAGGGAGTATTTGTCCTTGTGCCCTAGGCAGGAGAAAGAAAATAAGGGGAGAAAAAGGAGAAACTGAGGCAGAGAAAACAAGGAATGAGCTTGTTAGAGATGCAGAATGTAAAAATAAAGGGAAAGTAATGCAGCGAGATGAGAAAAGATGAGGGCAGGGGAGAAAAATAGGAAAAAGCTAGAAGTAGAAAAGGAGAGAGTGAGCGCAGGGTGGCGGAGGGAGAAGAGCAAATGAGTGAGCGAATAGGAGTGGAAGAGAGAGAGTGAGCGAGAGCAAGTGAGAGGGAGGGAGGCGTACAACACTGCAGACACTCGCCCACTGTCACTGCTCCACAGCCAGAGGACAGAGGCAGCAGCGGCAGCAGAGGAAGCGGATACGATGGAGGAGGACGACTGTACCATCCATCTGCAGCTCAGTCCCCGTCACTGACAGCCTCCCTCTGGGACCATCCTGCCAAGTTGGGAACAAAACTACACTCCTGTCCTTCACAACACCAAGTACTGGACCCTCAACTCCTGCAGGAACACTGTGCACAAGATCATCATTATTTTTCCCGCTCTTGCACTCCCGCACACTTACTCACACACCTTCTCTCAAACTGAAGCACACTTCACTCTGCCTATTGGACTAGCGAGTTTTTTGTTGTTTTCCATCATCGCTGCCTTCCGAGCTGAGTGGATTTACTTTTATCCTGTGGAGGACCATGGGGCTGGGGTGGAGGGGTACAGGAGGGGCCATCCAAAAAAGGACAGAGGAGAGCTGGTACCATTTGGTGGCATTGCTGCTGTTGTGTGGTTTCTGGGAGGCTCACACACAGACAGATGATGGGAAGTCTGTCTACTTCTGGGAAACAGGTACTGCTAAACCACTAATTAGAGATTAAATGTGATCCTTTGCTTTACATATGGAGTGTTTATGATAGCTGCTGATGTATTAGTGTGTTGCTTCTGAGTGTGGGAGGTCACATACCGTAGCTGCGCCAACAGCACAATCAGTCAGATCTTATCGTAAATGTTTTCTAACTCATTATATGTGGATAATGTGGCATGAACAGGGTGATAACCGTTTTATGGCACGTTTTAAATCTATGCATGCATCGGTGGAAATAAAAGCTTCTTAGATCTAGTGCAGAAATGTTCTCATGACTTATTGGGTTTCAGAGATCTAAAAGGCTTCCAGATGACACACTTTGGCTGTCTCAATTTTTTTTTTCGTTGAGGTTTACGCCGCTGAACTTCAAAGATGCATACACTTGAAAAATGACCCAGAAATCTACAGTAGAATCTCGCTTCTTCGTACTGAATCGCATGTGGCACGCAGGACAACTATGATCCATTTTTCAATAGATTAGTTTCATCTCCCTGAGTCTCAGGTGATGCACTGTTATTGAAATGTTGCTGTTGTGTTTTACAGCATGCAGATGATTGATAGGCACTGCATCACTATTGCGGTTGGCAACGGGTTTGATGCTGCTGATACAAAATCAGCTCTGAATATGAGGGTGTTGTGTGTTTTTGAGGCTCACGCGTGTAGAAGATTGTAGATTGAGTGGGTACAGTAGTTCTTATCTTTACACGTGCTTGTTCTCTACACTGAATCTAGCTGCACTGAAATGTCTATCAGAGACACATCTAAATATTGAGTGCTGTGGTGAATTAGATCCCCATACTTGATGCTGAGCACTACTCTAAGGTTTTAGAGTACATATCGTGCACTAGGTTCAGATTAACACCGATAACTACTAACAGATGCAAAAATTAACCTTTGCAGTCATTTTTAAAAACATCTAGGACGTCCTTTAAGGCACAAATTAAATAACGATCGCTTCATTTCCCAGTTTGATGCTCAGGAGATTTAAGGTGTGCTCTTCTCATTCAACGTTTGGAAAAGTTTTTATTTTCTCAATGCCGGTACAACTTTGTCATCTCTCTCAAACTCAAACGGCGCCACTCTGCATGTCCTGCCCCGCCTTGCTCAGCACCAGTCCCCAGTTGACGTATCCCACGTCTCTCCCGTGGTTCTGCATCTTTAAAGAGGATGTAGCTGAGTAAGGAGATTAAAGGAGCAGGGATTTAACAACCCAGGAAAGACAGCCCAGGGAAGAGACTTGAGAAAGAGAAAGGCAGAGTGAGCACTGCAGGCAGAGAGAGGGACTAACTTAACCTACATCTACCCTACTGTAGGTCATAATGATTATGCCTCTCTCCCACGCTACAGCACCTTTCTCCCACACTATACAAGCTCCTCAACTGGAAAGCTCTAGGCTCTGCGCTTTGAAATGTAATCCAGTGTTGGGAGTTTGTTCACTTCTTCCCAAATAAAAGGTAGTGCATTGATTTCAGCCCTGGAGTGTTCTTTCTTCTGAGTCTCTTTGGTTTGACAATTGCCTGCAGAGTATTAAAATCACATAGGGCAATTTACTGCTTTGGATCCTGGTGCTTTTCATCAAAATGTGATTATGTTTGTGCAAGATTTGCATACTTTTTCTTTCCAATGGAAGTTGTTTTTCCCGTTATTTATTTATTTTTTTAAGAAAAGAAACGCAAAATACGATGATGTTTGTGCACACTTGCAGAGTGTGCAGTGGAGGGAATATTCTTGTGGCAAGCAATGCTCTGATGTTTTGCATATTGATGAGTCTAGCTGAAATACAGCCCCTGTCTTCAAAACTGTGGGGAATTGGGCCTGCATTGCTTTTATTGCCTTCTGTGGAAATATGATGTATCTCTTTTGGAAGGTGAGACAGTTCATTGGTGATTTTTTTTTCTTTTTTCATGGAGAATACTATTCAAATGAAGCAGATGGAGACAACAGGATCCTCCAGCAATTGAAAGTGATATTTCTGCAGGTGGCGTTAGGATAGCTGAAGGAAAAAAGAAAATGATTATAGCCACCATGAGGATGATGGTAGTGATGATGGTGATGGTGATAATGGCATACCACAGATTTTCTGGGGCCTCTGAGTGTTTGCTGGGAGTTTGCCTTCGTCTCAGATCCTGTTTTCACGCCATTTTCTCCCTGTCACTTTCTCACAACTGTGCACTCCTTCTACACTTCTTCCTCTGCATCTTTATCACTTTGTTTCCCTGTCTAGCACTCAGACCATATTTTGCATTGCTTTTTTAAGAGCCACAGCCCAAACAATAAAACAATGAAATATGATGAAATCTCAGAGAAACTTATTGTCACGAGGCAACACCAGGATGTCAATCTATCTATTATAAACCCCCCCAACCCATCCTTGCCTCCACAAACACGCACCGCAGCAGGTGCATCTTCCCGATTCAGTTACAGTGTGTGTGCTTCATTATACTCAGTTGTTGAAGCAACAAGGTTGCCAGGTTTGTACTGTCAAGACCTCCCATGTTTGCCTGAGGACAAGGCAATTACAGGTGGTGGAGTATTATGTACTGTAGTATTTCGATATCTTGAGCATCTGCCTCACTGTAAGTGCTCCTTAAACAGGGCTTTGAGGTTTGATACTGATGCATGTTAATGTTCCAGTGGATCCTTAAATGCATCAATTATCCACAACATTAAAACCACCTGCCTAATATTGTGTGATCTGTCTCAACCCGGCAAACAGCTCTGTATCAGTGTATGGATATGGGACATCTGGGGTGTCCTGTGGTGCTTGGCATGGTGAATTTTTGGATCTTGTAGGTTTTGATGTGGGGCCCCCAGGGATTGGGATTATTCTGGCGTATCCCACAGATGCTCAATTGAATTGAGCTGTTTGAAAGATGGGATAATGCTTTTGTGGCTCATTGTCATGTTTCTTGAGCTGTTCCTGAGCAGTTTTGTGGCATGGCTGGATGCCGCCATCAGAGAAGCAGTTGGTCGACAAAAGTGTTTGCAAAAGCGGTCGCAAAAGAAATCCACTTGTATGGACGTCAACAGGAAAATAAACCTCAGTACAACATGATCCCCATTTTGTAAATTATGGCAAAAAAGATGATAAAGCAAAGTGTAAGATGAGGAAAGGTGGGAATTCACACACCAATGGGTGCTGACCAGTTACAAGTAACGTGTTACTGTAATCCAATTACTTTTTTCAAGTAACGAGTAAAGTAAGGTATTACTATTGCAGAAAAGGTAATTAGATGACTGTTACTCTCCCGTAAGCACGCCGCTTTACTGCGTTACTAAAACCGTGATTTTTTTTTTTCTTTTTGCGAGAGTCTCTCATGACAATGACGTAAGTGAGTGTGATGTTCGTGGCAACAGCTGTGTGCAGATCAACAATGGATAATATAACAAGTGCGGCAGAGAGTATGACCGTGCAGCGTTTAAAGCGTGGAAGTACTGACCTTACTTTGAGTTTGAATCTGTAAAAAGTGACAAAAACATTAGTGTCCGCTGTTCACTGCGTGGGAAGAAAACTTCTTTTTACAACGAAAAAAACCCCTAAACTTCTGAGCAAGCACCGACAGTACGCTGCCACGGGAATGTGAAACTCCCAGATCCTTCCACTGACCACTACGACACATGTGCACCAGGGCAAACCTCCGCCTGCCCCACTCCTGCTATACAGGTGAAAATAGAGCAACAGGACCGCTGAGTCTTTGACTTTATTTATTTTCTGCTGTGATTTACATGCATTTATTTGAAAGAGTGACTGTAAACACAAAAAACTATTTCATTTTCTGTGCTGGAATGTGCAGAAAATAGGTTTAATCAAATTTCTTCCAGTCAGAGAATGTTGCATATAATTTAATGTTTGCTTCATGCGTAAAGTTAAAAGATTAAAACTAATAAAACTAGTTTCAAAAAGAGACTTTTTCATTTGATTACATTTTATATGATGGATTATGCAGAAAAAATAGAATTGGGCTGAAAGATCTATTGCTTTATTACCTATTCAGGTTGTAAATCATTTTTTAAAAAGTAACTAAGTAACTAAGTAACTAATTACTTTTGAAGATAAGTAATCAGTAAAGTAACGGGATTACTTTTGGGGGGAAGTAATCAGTAATTAGTTACTGATTACTTTTTTCAAGTAACTTGACCAACACTGGTGCTGACACTGTAGCTACAGCAGTCGTTTATATAGAGGTCTATGAGTCCCATGGATGCTCAGTTTGATTAGGATCTGGAATGTTTGGAGTCAATGCTTTTGGGATCTTTATGTATTCCTAAGTGGTGTTAGCTGTAGCAGGGTGCATTGTCCTGTTTGGAGAGGTAGCCATGGTCAGAGTATCTTTGCCCTTAGTGGTTTGGTGTGGTACATCTCATAATGTAATGTCCATACGAATGCTACAGTAGGACCCAAAGTTTAGCAGAAGGACATCACATTGTAACAAGATAATCATGACTTGTTAGTGCTTTTAATGCTTCGGTTTCATAAAAAGCACAAAAAAAGAAGTGAAGCTTACCTTTAAAATGTACACCAGCAGGTGTTAATTCATTTATCAGTCTGATCTGACAGCCTGATCTTATCACTCTTGATCAACCTTCTACCTTTCCTGATTGGCCGCTCGTAATCTTTCCCGGAATCCAGATTACGTCACCTCTGGATCCTGATCAAGCCAATCCGCAATTACCTGCCGTCTTACCTCATCAAGTTAAGTCACACTTCACAGCATGTGCCTCTCAGTCACAGGCCTGTTAACTCAACTGAGACATGCACAAGCTCTCAACTAGCTGCTCTTATATGTTGTTTGCCATTTGTGTTTGTGAATACAGTCAATCAGAAAATGAAAAATCTTGTTCAAATTTGCATTTTAAGCAACAGATCGCTTCTTTTGAGACCTTATGCCTGGACAAAGTTTATACACATAAAAGCGCAGCAGTAGGTCTTCTTCAGGATACTGATTTGGCACCTGTTACTCTACATGCTCCTCAAAGAGCATCA